TTTTTTAGCAGTTAAACAACGGTAAAAAATATGCAGCAATCATAATACATTTAAAACATAAATATCGAAACCAGATTAATTTTCCCTTCAGATTGAACTGATAGGAAAATCTTAGTGAATCATACAAAACTTTACTGGAGTTCATATCAGATAAATATTGATTATCAATACTAGTCGTTAAGAAGCAAATATTAAGGATAAAGAATAAAGCTATTTATCTATCGCAACAAGATAAAACCGAATTATCGCATCATCCAATACGATTATTATAAAAAATACAAATATACGTTAACAATCAACTAAAATGACATCAAAATCTATACTCTATACTTATCTATACTATTATAATAAAGCGTAAACACACACTTCTTTGTTGCCTAAGATGTCAGCAATAACAGGATATTTTTGAATAATTCTTTTTTAATAAAAAGCCCTACACTTACGTCACGCTTTAGGCTATATATTTAACGCCATTGAACTTAGGTGGTAAATGTTTTGGATAAAAACCCTAATGTGGGAAAGATATCATAAGTTGCCAACATCAAGGAAGCAAGATGCCATCATGTCATGTCATTTTGACAGTTGTAATTGATAATTTGACAGATGTAAAGTAAACCATCAAATAAAATTTTCATAATTTCATGCGGATGAAGTCGCACGGGAACTGCTAGTAATTACATAAAAGTGATTCTAGTCGCATATCCAATATGCGATGTTGAGCTAGTAAAAATTTCGTTAAAAGTCTAATAAAAAAACATCAAAAAATACCTAACATCAATCATAATCATTAAAAAAAAAAATTGTCACCCATAGATTCTGTAATGACACCAATATTAATTTAACCTAATAGTAAAATCGATTAAAACCCAATTATTTTATAACCTTATTTACGCATTATGTTACTTTAGTATTCACTTTGATAAAAGATAATCATAGTTCATACTAATATTATAAATGCGAAAGTTTAGATCGATAGATGGATGTTAGAGTTTGTAGCCTACACGGCTGAGCGGATTTCGTTATAACTTTGTACAGACGTCCAAAAAAAAATATCCTCTAGGATAGTTTAGAACACATAGGCTACGCACTTTTGTTTTTTAATTCTATGCGGACGGAGCCGCGGACAGAAGTTAGTAAAAAAAAATAAATAATAAAAAAGGGCAAAACAAAAACTATAGGAGTATCGTAAAGTAAGTATAATTTGGCGATATGGGGGAGTATACCCATAGGAAGAGGAAATAACCCCATTGTATGCACCCTCTACTCGGTCGAATAAAGGTAGGCAATGCAAATACGGATTTCTATGGGCTGCGGTCACTTAACTGTTTAGGCAATTTTATTTTGGCCGCTTGCCACCTTATTTTATACTGTATGAGTATTTAAAACATAATAGTCACTTGGTCACTTAAACAGTAGTGTGAATTTCGCGATGACACGGCATTTTTCTTCCAAAGTCATGGTGATGCTATGTAACACGTGTAAGAGAATTGAATAACATTGTATAACATGTAGACAAGGACAATGAAGGTTATTCTAGATTTTTCTATTAGTATAAGAGACCCATTGAGATTAACAAAAATACCATATACATATAATAAAATTGGAGTGTCTGTTATGCACAAGTTTATAGTCATTAAATACTATGTTTAACTTGAAAAAACTCTCATCATCAACTTGCCCTTATCCCTTATGGAGGGTCGGCACAGTATGTGCTGCTCTTCCATACATCTCTATCAGCTGTCATATCTGAATCAACTCCTTTCTTAAGCATATCCTCTTTTACACAATCCATCCATACTTTCTTCAGTCTTCCTCTTCCTTTGTAGCTATCCACATTCATTCTTAACACTTTCAGGTTTATGTCCCCATCGTCTCTTCGCTTAACATGTCCATACCACGCTAACCTTGAAAAAACTCTAAAACTTCGAAAAATGTAGTTTGACACCTAATCCAATTTCATCTATTATTAAGAGTCTAGTCTTTTGTGTTAAGTTATTTATGAGTTAAGTCTTTGATGTTTTAAAATCATTAAAAAATAAACTAAAAAAGGTATAGTCTGCTTTTGTTATTTTTTTATCATTATCATTTATTAGTGTAATTTCCAATTCAACAAATAATCTTATCCAAATTTAAGTATATAGTAATTCATAATGATGTAACACATTTTTAAAAAACTCGACGAATGCAATAATGATGTAACACATTTTTAAAAAACTCGACGAATGCAATAATGATGTGGAATTCATTATAAGTAAACAGACAAATCTATAGTAATATAATAAAGAGGAAAAATTAGTATTTTTGTATGCATTGAAATAACTCAAAACCTCATCATCAACATCACCAGCTCACTATACGTCCCCACTTAGGGTAGGCTTGGAGCCTACCCTAAAGTAAGTGTGACTAGGCCATAGTCAACCACGCTGGCCTACTGTGCGTTGGTTGACTTCACACATATCTTTATATTTCTTTGCCAATATGTGCAGGTTGCATCATGATGTTTTCCTTCACCGTAAGAACGTCGGGTAAATTATGTACATATGACAAATTCGAAAAAATCGAAAATCACATTGGTACAGCGGGATTCGAACCCAAGACCTATAGATTACAAGTCAAGTGCTTAAACCACTGAGCCACCGACGATCTAAACCTACAGTGCCAATTTTAAAAACTCTTTCTGCATTAGAAAGTTAACTTATCTGTGAGTAACATAGGCTACATTTTTTAATTTAACGCGAGTGAAGTCGCGAGCAACAGCTAGTGGCTTATAATTATTAAAATATACTTTGATATGATAAAAATTATCTTTGGATAATTTGGTAGGCTTGTTTTGATAATCACACAGAGTAATTACTTTACCTTACACTTGAATAACATATTTGTCATTTTTTGACATATTAGGTACTGACTTACCATTACCATGTGGAATAAAAAAAAATATAGCTTGTGTCCAGTCTATATTCTACATCTATGCTAAATTTCATGGAGATACCTTCTAACTAGACGGACGGAAGTTTATCCATCAATCAAAACATTCCGATTTATAATATTGGTAAGAAGGTTGTAAGTATGAAGTAAAATGACTTAAATTTGCAATAAGTTTCAGCGACTGGTATTTTATCAATGAAATTAGATCAAGTATGGATTAGAAAAATAGTAACAATCATGGGTCTCTAGAGACCTCTAGAGAATAGAAAAATGTAAAATAAAAACAAAATTATAATAAAACTACTTTGAGTAAGACCATAACAATGATAGCTGACACTCTCCTAAAGACTGTTCCATCAACACTTACATTATTAATTAAATATATAAGAAAACCATTAAATATTTGACAAGTCATTATTAATTAGAAACATCATAAAGCTGTGTTACTGTAGAATTTTAATTTAATAGTATCATAGGCTATGAATATAGCAACAAATGATATGCAAGATGACAAGTTTCATAATAAAATTTGAATTATCATCCTTACCACACATTTCTTTCATTCAGTATTTTTAATACTTAATATCATATTGGAACAATATCTAACTGTAGTTATTCCATTATTGAATATTACTTCAAAACTTTGCATGAAATAGGTAAATAATTTTTTAGAACATTACATGTGAATAAAAACACAAGTTTAGAAAATCACTTATTTTTCAGAAAAATGTAAACAAGATATCTTTTTTAGTAACTCTAGTATAGAGATATTTGAAGTTTAAGTTATACAAGCAAGCAACAGAATTCAGTTAGCATGGGTCCAGCTATACTTAGTAATGAGATATCCCATAATACAGTAAGGATTTACTACTGCTGTTTGTAAATAAACAGACTATACTTTTAACACATATTTGTGTGTACTATGTAGTACACTTGGTAAAATCCATATCATATGACAATCTATTTGCTGAAATAATTTCCAATATTAAATTACCATAGAGTAGAGACATGTCAACATTTCCCCTGCGACTCCGTCTGTGCATATTAAAAAAAAAACTAAAGCAAGTAGCCTATGTGTTCTTCCAGATTATCGTCTATATCTATGCCAAATTTTATAAAGATCCTTTCAGCCGTTTAGGCTACAATCTTAAACAAACATCCATCCATCTAAACTTTCACATTTATAATATTAGTAAGAAGTAACATTGCATACATACAAAACACATATAAGTCTTTCTGGCATAAAACAAATGAATGTTAACATCTAGAGTACAGTCAATAAAGCTATTATAGGAATGCCAATATCTTTATGTTAATTTATTGATATCTACTTTTTATACAGTATGTTCTAGACATTTTGACGGCTCTTGACAACATGTGAGTTCCAGCATACAACACAATCTTAGTTGCAGCAGGATGCAGGACGAAATACATTGCATCAATAACATTGTCCACCAAGACATTTGGAATGAACTATACTTGGAGTTTCATGGTTCAAAATATTTTGTACAATCATTCTTACAAATGACATTTAGACTCTTATCAACAATTTAATGCATCATGGTTATTTATTACTATGTTTTAAAAAATAATGAACAGCTTATCTTAAATTCTGAGACCAGTATTGAATATATTTGAAGTGTTTGTTTGAACATTTACAACATTGAAATTGGTTGCTTAAACTTAAATCCAACAAGGGGGTAACTTGTTAGATTTAAGTTTTTAAAAAAATTATGTAGGTAGGTACGACTATATCTGTCTACCCCAGATAGTTTGGATTTTTTTATATAAATACAACTGTCACTTTGAAATTCTGAAATAATAATTGTTCTAGGCTATAAGTCTGTTTACAAGTAAAATTTATCAAAACGAATCATAAATTTAAAGTTCACATGAGAGAATAATGCAAATATCAAATATTTAAAATGATCAAAATACTTGTTCAGGGTCTGCATACATTGTGACATTACCACGCCAGGTAAACAGTTTGCGTGATTGCGAAATGTCTTGCGAAATTGAAAGGGCCTTCAAACAGTTGAAGTAAGAATAGTTTCTAAAAAAACTCAACTTACCTAAACAACATACGACGAATTTGAAGAAAGTGAAGAAGAATGCATTGTAGAAGTTGGCATCGTAGTAATTGCCATCTGTTTCTGGTATGTCTACGTGATCCACTGTCACGTTGCTCAGCACCAACACCTCTTCGCCACTCGACACCGGTAGCCCCAAGCTGATCTTCAGGAACTCATCCACCACAAAGAGCGGTGGAACTCGTAAAACCACCTCCACTAGAGCTAGGACCTTCGACCTCAGCGACATCATTCATTTATGCGAATCTTCACGCACTACCACCAATAATTTACACAGCCGAAAAAAACGGCAATCCCGAAATGGAACTATTTAATAATGATAATATATTTTTAAATATTATTTTAATGATCACGTAATAAATGTTTCAAAATATGACTGAAATTTTTGCGACAATAAAATTTGACAATTGATTTTTGAAGTTGGCACAGATAAATATTTTCAGATATTTTTTTTATCACAGTGTTGCTACTATAAAATATGAAGCATTAAGTATTTTTTATCTAGTAACTGTTACATGGATATTTAATTTTCATTAATTCGTTTTTAATTTAAGATTCTTTATTGTTCTTCGCTTATTTTTTTGGTTATTACATTTAATGCAAACATTTACAGTACCCGTATTAAAGATGGCACGTTGAGGACCAGAGTAGTCCTTTGCCCGACGCGCCAACTACTCATGATTTTGTACTCGGATATCATACGTTATACTAATATCATATATGTCATATCTTACTGATATTATAAATGTGAAAGTTTAGATGGATGGATGGATGTTTGTTGGCGTTTATAGCCTAAACGGCTGAACAGATTACCATGAAATTTGACATAATTGTAGAGGATAGTATGGAAGAACATTATAGGCTCATACTCATACTAACTTTTGTTTATTTTTTAAAAATCGACGCAGACGGAGTCGCAGGCGAAAGCTAGTTTGTAAAAGCTTTTTACATTGGTCTTATTTCTTATATTAGTGTAATAATTATTAAAGTAGGGTGCAAGCGTGCGGGGAAACACCGAGGAAACAAAGACACCCATGAACTTCCGCAATACCAGAGGAACTACAGATACGTTCACGAATAATACTAGAACAATCTTGACCGGGTCTCCAAAAAAATATGTTACAAATTTTATTTAAACAATGATTAGAAAATCTTTAATTAAATAATGACTTGTAACGTTTAATTGAATCCACCTTACGTGGCCTATAAGGTCCCCATATCACAACTCTTCGTGCTAGGCCAATTACTTGAATTATTATATGCCATTATATACCGGTAGTCTGTCTTTAGTTTTTCTGTAGTTCCAGTTCATAAATTGAGCAATTCTTAGTGGAAGTGGAAGTGGAAGTGTGAAAGCTTGCAAATTACAAGCTACCAACATTAGGAACCTAGGTTATTATAATGGCAAATGTAAACAATAAAATAAAGTTTTTATAATTTCATGCGGATGAAGCCGCACCGGAACAGCTATTTCTCAATAAAATGAGTGAACAATATTCATCTTTAAACTATAATATACGTAATACAGTAATAAAATAAATGCTACATCAATTTACTTTTGAATTGTAATCATCGTTAAACGTAGTAAATAAG